GCAGATCCACACTCAGTGGGGAGTCTGCTTGAAATTCTCCCTCCCTCTCCCTCCACACCTCCCCAAAAGGCGCTCATGCCCCTGAACGCAGGCACTCTCTCTCTCTCACTTGCTCTCTAAACAATAAATAAATCTGTTAAAAAAAAAAAAAAAGCTAGCAATTATTATACTGAAACATTTTCAAAACAACTACTTAACTCTTAGTCCTTTCATCAAAATTACTAACAGTACAAAGGTAGTTATTAGTAAATTCCATAATGACAAATTCTTAAAAACTTACTGTGTCTTTACTAGCGAAATATTTTAATTGGCAAATTATTTGATTTTGATTTGAGAAGGTCCAAAAGCAAATGAGAAAGGGGGGAGAGAAGTGACCATTTGCTTTCATCAGAAATCTATCCAAAATGTTGTGGACCAGTTTCTAAAATATAAACTTAGGTGTAACAACTTGTTTAGTCCTTGGATTTAGACACCACAGTGCTATTTTCTTACTGTACTTCGGTTATCAGTTATCTAACACTGTAGTACAAAAGAGCCTAAAATGTCCACACACTTTCTTTTAGAGCTGCAGCAAAATACCTAGTTAATCAAATTAATCTTTCCAAATCACATAAGGAAAACACATTACATGGCCATTGGAAAGACTGTGTCACGGTTAAGAACACATATGCTGGAATTTGCTGCTTTAGTTTGAACTCCACCCCACCATTTATTAGCTGTGCGATCTTGAGCAAGTTAGTCACACAAAGTAACTTAATCGCTTTGTGCCCTGGTTTCCTCATCTGAATTACGGATAATGATATCTCCCTCACAGGGCTCTGTAGGATTAAATGAATTAATATATGTAAAGTAATGTGGTGCCTGACATACATAAGTGCTACATTTTAATTAAGAAATAAAGATCTGCCTGCCTACATTAAAAATCAGTTACAAATAGGTTCTGCTTAAAGGTCTTTTTTTTTTTTCTCAAAGATTTTATCTGACAGAGACAGAGCGGGGAGTGGGGAGGCGGTGGTGAAGGGAAGGATGGCAAAGGGAGGAAGAGGAGGAGCAGGCAGGGAGGCCCACATGGGGCTGGATCCCAGGACTCTGGGACAATGACCTGAGCCAAAGGCAGATGCTTAACTGGCTAAGCCATCCAGGCACCCCTTAAAAGTCATTTTTAAGACAATTGCTTAGAACTCTATATCCATTTCCCTGGAAATTCAATGCTGGTTAGATTTGTCCTAATGCCACAGAAACTTACTGAACAATGTGACTAAATCACAGCTTTCCATTGTTTCTGTGGAATAATGTATCAAAAGTTCCAACTAAGGGGAAAAAGAACTTATTTTCTGACCACATTCTAGGTACCTGCAAGTCAAAGTGATCCTTTCTTTTTTCTCCAGACATAAACAGGAACTTTCGAACAAACACTAGTGATTTTTATGATAGGGATAGGAGTGGGAAGAGTGTCTCAGGATTGTACAGCATAAGCTTTGCATTTCTTGCCAATGACTAAGGACTGATCATCAAAAAGCAGCCACATGAATTTCTGAGCAAAAAGAGGAAAAGGTGAGTATACGTATGCATGAATACACCTGCATGCAACACATTCATGGACTCTTAACTTGGTATACCCAGGTCTTCATCACTAACAAACTGTCATCCCTGAATACTGAACTTGAAAATCAAAATCACTGTAAGATATCTTATTCCCATTTTCTCAGCTAAACTTAGAAATTTCAGTCAAGGTCAAACATATTAAAATTAGACTACAACCCCTGCTCTTTTCACTACTCTAAAAATTCTCTACAACAAAGATGGAAAAACTAACAGGTACCAGAAGAGCAAGAAAATTTCCAGCACTAGCAGAGAAGGAAAAGTAGAAATTATCTTTGCCAGAGTAACCGTTTCACAAGCTCCTTGTTACATCCAGGTACTCTACTACATTTTTAACCTTATATAAATTAAACAACGTATTTTAGTATTGCCTAGAATTTGCTGTCCAAATTGGATTAAGCTTACCTAATTCATTTAACACTGTATGCTCTGCAACTTCAGTGTATAAATTAGGACTGCTTTCTAAATTGGATTTCTCTAGGTCAAATGATTATGCATAGTATTAATTCAAAGTATAAAATGAAGTGAAATTTGAAATATAAACACCAGAACCAAATTTATTTGGTTTATGAATGAACTTTGATACATATACTGGGTACTTTCATTAAGGTGAAAACATAGTATTAACTTGCAAGGTCTGCCTGTCAATCAACAGTCTCTGATTAACCAAAAACACTGAATTATATACAACAGATTTATCAATATATACGTAAGCCTTATTTACTTTTTAAAAAAATTTTTAAAATATTTTTATTTATTTATTTGATAGAGATCACAAGTAGGCAGCGAGGCAGGTGGGGGCGGGGGAGCGGGCTCCCCGGCTGAGCAGAGAGCCCGATGAGGGGCTTGATCCCATGGCCCTGAGATCATGACCTGAGTGGAAGGCAGAGGCTTTAACCCACCGAGCCACCCAGGGGCCCAAGCCTTATTTACTTTTAATAAGCTCTTTATAGTACAAAACATGTTTCTAAAGGGTAAAAATGGAAACATTAGTTCAGGCGATTGTCCAAGTTGATTCCAGTTATGCAATTAAGGTAGTTTTAAAAACCCAAGAGATACAATGTAACTGTATACTTACAGTTTAACTAAACAAACAAAACCCCAAAAACCTCTTACTTTAAAAAGAACTACAAGTCAAAAACCAGCCCAACAATGAAGAATGCAGAATGAAGACAGCTACAAAGAAACGTTTTGCCACTGGAAGCAAGATGGCCTGGGGAAACTGCCTTGCCATCTTCACTACTAATATTAAGTCTAATTTTGATCTAGCCAAAAAGTCTAATTTTGACCTAGCCACAAAGTCTAATTTTGACCTAGCCACAGTTCAAATGCCAAGAGACTAACAGGAAAACACTGTTTATCCCAATGTTCAAAATTTTCCCATTATTACCTAGAGAGAGGTAAAATGCTTCCTTTACTTTGCCCTATCAAGCTTCTCAATAACTTTAATATCTGTAAACCACATCTTAATGTAACTGATCTCTTAAACACATTTGAAAAAAATTAAATAATATCAAACAGAAAATGACTGATATTTTATGTAATTTCCATTGTTAAAAATCTCCCAAATATCTACAAAAGGTGGGACAAGCAGGAAAGGCCCATGACTCCTTAAGTGCTTACTGATTATGCCCAACAAAATACGCAGTAAGGGAACTCACAAGCTATATGAAATAGCAATGAACAAATATAAATATGGTTTCTGTAGGCTTCAGCAGAAACACCTCAACTACAATCAATACTAATCAGCTGCGGTTTAAAAACAACCACCTCCCAGTATTTACAATCATCAAAGAATTCTAAGACTAACCTGTGAAAAAGGTGCATTAAAGGTGCAAAAAAAAAAAAAAAAAAAAAAAAGCCATTCTCTCTAAAAATAAACATGTCAATGTATTTTACATACATCTTCAAACTACCACTGGCCTTCCACTCTCACACACTTTAGGTTTTTAGGTTCCCTACTCCCCAAATTTAAACGCAGTATCCAAGTTTCCTTCTGTCAGCAATAGAACAAATACTATACTGTATCACCCAGTAAATTAAGCTCCTTAAAAGTTAAATTGAACAAGGTATAGAATCACATCTTGTATAACTCTGTATCCTAAAACACATTTGGTATAGCCTCCTAAACATAACAGAGACTATAAATGTTCACTGACTCAAAATAGTCCTTCAACACTTTGTAGTCCTGTTCTGCGCCACTGAAAGAAAACTGCATAGCTTTGCAAAATCCAAAGGGCCTAAATGTTACTTAAACTTCACAGGATACATCATTATTTCACAGCTTAGAGGTTTTAGCCTTGCCCCTATTACTCGCTGTAATGCTTTTTAATGTTATTGGCAACAGTAGGGAGGAGAGCAGATCCAGTAAAGAGTGGACATGGGAACCTGTTAAAAGGGAGTATTTTCATTTTCATCCTTTACCTTTTTATTTATGTAACATTAATGTTATAAAGTCAGTTAACTGTATCAGCAAGTTAAGAGACAGTTCTGCAGAACATAAATGAAAACACACACCAATGAAGAACAAGTAACCAAAGAGAAGAACTGCCGTAAACTCTGGCAACAAGGTAAGGATGGTTCACACCAACGTAATGAAAAAATAAGTCTTTTTGCATTCTACAAGCCTTCCATGACTAATTTTTCATCTAACTATAAAAGTCTCTAAAAAGTCAAAACAAACTGGTTAAATCATTATCAAAATCACAAACTATCATTAAAGATACACAAAAATATCTAGCAACCAAGATCTAGAACTGCTTCCAGAGTGTCAAAGGTCTTCTAGGTTGTTAAAACAGTCTATTATGCCTCTAAAACAATTTCACTTAGATGTGACATTCCTAAAACTGCAACACAGGCCTGTAAGTTTCAGTGAGCCAGTGCCGGCAAAACCAAATGTGACCAAGATATCCTCTCCTTCGGGCGGTTAACTACTAAATTACTGTTCTGGGATCGGCTTGCTTCACTAAGTTTAAGATGGTGCCTAAACTGAAAAGAAAGCGACAAAATAAGTAAAGGAAAAATAAACAGAAAACTGATTTTAAAAGTTAAGTTCCTATTTCCAATAAACTATGTCTTAGAAATATTTCAGACTATAAAGGTTTGAAAGAACAGATGGATCAAGACCCATCCGCATTCTCTTGAGACGTGCGCACTGCGCGGAAAACGATGAATGAATGGAAGACAAGCGCGTGTGAAATGCAGCAGGTCCGGCCGGCAACCAGACCAGCAGCAGCGATCTGTAGGCCTCGCTCCTCCCCCTTCCCTCCTCCATGACAGCCCAGTATCAAGCATGGAGGGGAGAGGACAATGTGATCCCCCTTTCTCACCACCACCACCTTTCAACCTACTCTGAGAGCTCTACCGCGCAACACGAGGTTCTCCTCCCCGCCCCAAACCTTTCTCGCCTCCCCTGCCGCCAACCCCGGCAACTCTCGGGCGCGCTGGAGTAACATGCGCTCGCCCCTCTCGGCTCCCCTCGGCGAGGTCGAAGCTTCTCCGCGCGTGCCGCGGAACCACTCCCGCCCAACCCACCCTCCCGCAACGCGCGCCCACCGGCCCCTTGGCCCACCGGTATAAAGACCCGCGCGCGCCCCGCACACGAACCCCCAGGCTGGAGCTCGGGAGGGAGAGAGGGACGGAAAGGCTACCCCGGGGCTCCCTCCTCCATCTCATTCCAGGCCGGCTCGCCACCCACCCTCCCTGCGGATCCGGGCACCCGCTCGAGCCAGTCCTGCGCCCTTCTATCCTGAAGACACAAACCCCACACACCCAGCCCAGAACCCGGATCACTCTCCACCCTAGCAGACCACCTCACAGATCCGCAGGAGGCGCCGTGCCGCCCCTCCCCCCCCCCTCTCCCCCTGCTCTCGGGCCCCCACCAGAACGTGTGCGCTACACGCCGCCTCGGCCAGCCTCCGGGGCGCCCCCAATTGCCCGCGGAGAGGTCAGGCCCAAGAAGAGGGGGAGGGGGCAGCAAGGGGTAGCGTGCGCGCCGGGAACGCCGTCCCGCGGGGTCCCCCAGTCCGAAGGGAGACGGAGCGCGGGGACCGCTGGGGGGGGGGGCAAAGGCAATACTCACCGGTTCCACAGTCGCCATCTTAGATCGATCTGATCGCACAACCGCTCCTGAAGGGGGGGTGAGAGGAAAAAAATGAGATTCAAACCGGATTGGCCGGCTACTGTCCACGTGACGGACGTGTCCGTTTGGCCCGGCGGCGCCTGCGCACGACTGCGGCTGCGTGAGTAACAAGAGGCTTCTGGGAAGTGGAGTCTTTCTCGCTCACTCTCGCTCTCCCTCTCTTTTTTAAGGGCAACGAAGTTTAAAAAAATTAAAAAAAGAAAAGGACTGGTCACGTGGCTGGTGGGTCCGGTGCGCGGTTCTCGGCGGCGGACCCTAGCGTGGCGGAGGGTGGTTTTCAGTCCTGTGCTCTTCCGCCTGGATAGCTGCTGTCGCGTTTACTGCCAGGCATGCCTGCTGGGCCCTTTGTTGCCCTGTCCGCCCATCTTCCCCGGAAAGTTGGGAACTGCAGGCTCAGCACGCACAATGAGGCTTCATTTGCTTAGTTGGGGTCCTAGGACAAGTTGTTCATTTAAATTTTGTTTGACTTCCCACCATTTTCTCTTGCTTTCAGAAAGAGGCGGCGATGGAGAGTCGTTGTTTAAAGCAACCGACCTTCCCCCGTCTCCCTGTTCTGCTAAAGAGGGTGGTCACTCATTGCCATCACTGTGAAAGGGGGTGGCGGAACCGCCCGCAGTACCCACTAGCCACAGATTGGGGGAGGGGGAGTGCACCCGACAGCTTTTCCTGTCCCAAATTCTGAGATTAAGACCTCAGGGCTAAATCTTGAGTAGAAGTAAAAATTATTTGAAAGTTTTGTCCTCTCGGTTCCACTACTCTGCTTAACGAGAACGAAAATAGCCGAAGTCCAGGTGCCAGCCAGGGAAGCCACTCTGGGCCCCGCTGACTAAGCCCTGGACTGATCGTCAGAAGTTAGGTCGGTCAACTATGACTCTTGTCGTTGACTCATTCTCCTTAGGCGAATGACTTAATCATTCAGTGCCTCAGCTTTGTCATTTATGAACCACAGATGATAATACACTTACCTCACAAGGGTGTGCTGTGGTAATGATTGTAACCAGCTTTGAAAATGCATCGAACTCTATTAACTACTTAATAATAAGGCAACCTCATGCCTCCCTAAGGATAAGCTGCTTCCCCTAATGTTTTCTTAAACAATGTTTTAATTTTTTTCTGTTTACTTTGCTACATTATCATGTACACTAAGGAATTTAAATTTTAAAAAGTTTCAAGACGACGTTTTTCGTTACTACTGTAGCTACCTTCTACAGAGGCTTTATGTTCAGGAATATATTGTTATTTTCGCAAAAATCACTGGCAGTTATCCCTACACCGGCATCGTACATTTCCTTTTCCTTTAAGACACTCTGCTGTAATTTCTTAAGGCCGTGTTATTCTGCACAGCCTGGTTGTTAATAAAAAATGGAGGTAAATCTAAAAGAACACTGCTATAAAGTTCTAATGAGGAAGACATCATTATTATTTTCCATACTTCTTAAGAATGTCAACACTAGAAACATCAGTATAAGCAGGCTGCCTGTGCCTGCCTGCTTTAGTGTTGCTGATGTCCAGAGCTGTGTCATACCTATTATTGAGTACATAATGGTTGCTTGAGTTGACTAACACATAATTGAGGCTGTACACACAAAACCATTGCCTTTTCATATGCTTTGGTTTCCCTGGATGTCAAAAGTGATTAATGAAAGCTTTTTTCCAATCAGCTTACCTCTAGTAGGCTTAAAGTATATGAAATTCCGAGTAAATAAATAAATGAATTTCTACTTATGGAAACTATCTACTGTTACTTAAACTACCCAAAGTAATTACAGTTGATCTCAGTGATAACTTCTGTAGTATCTGGTTATCTTCTTCCAGGGGATAGCATAGATGTATTTTCATAGTGCTACTAGATAGTAGCAAAAAATTAAGGGAACTTCAGTCCCCATAGGAGAATGAAAGCCAGTGATATTCTTAAAACTTTAATTATAGCTTCCATTTTATTAACTTTTCTCAATTAAAAATCTCTCCACTTTCGTGAATCATCCCAGTACTTCTATAATACTTATATATGCTCCTATTCTTTGTAGCTTAATTTATCTCCATTTTGTATACAGTTTGTTGCATGTGTTTATGGCACATTCGTGTGTCTTTGCCTAATATCACCATTAGATTCTACCATGTCAAAGATTTGGTGATTAGATTTTTATCTATGTGTTTATGTGATTGTATTGTTTTTGTCAGTCTGAATTGTGCAGACTAGAAATGTTATACTTTAGTTATTAATATATAAAAAATTACATTTGTTACCTCAATACCATATTTATGCTTATATTTAAGGAAAAGAAAGGGCAATAAAGAAATGTATGAAATGGAATAGCATTGAAATACTATTTTACTTCATCAAATTAGCTAATACATAACTAATGACCCAGCATTGTATCATGGTAACTGTTACTTATAAACCTGGGATGATTGGTTATCATTTAGCATGTATAAATAGTCATGGTCTTTTTCCTACATAATATATTCCACAAGCTGGTATATTACCAGCCTTTATAGATTTAACTCATGGTAAAATATTTTAAATAATTTGATAGAATACATCAGTTTTTTTTTTTTTCATTTATTTACCTCTTTGTCATTGGAATTTTATTTAGGTTTTCTAGATAGCCAGAATCATTGTTTTACTGGACGTTGTTCAGCTGTGGTTCAAACTGATCACATCTGATACAATCAATCCCTCAAAAACGTTACTGTTTCACCCTCTGTGATTTTTTTTTTTTTTTTAAGGACTTGGAATTTTAGACAATCTGTTCTTTTTAGATGTCTTTCTTAGTCTCTGGTCAGTATTAAGCAATCATTTTTCTTAAAATGAGTAGATCTTCAAACAGAAGATATGAAATTGCATAATAAAGTAAATGATCCTTAATATTACAGTGTTGGCTATTAACTTCAGATATAATCTAAAGCAACCTCTAATTAACATTAACATTGAGGCTTGGTTTTTTGTTTTTTTTTTTAACCTTATTCACTCTCTTTTTAAACTTGGTCATACCTTAAACTCTTTTTTTTATGTCACTTTCTACAGTGAGGTTCCTTAAAGAAAGGCCTGAGATGATGGCTTCAGACAAGAAAAATAATCTTTTAAATTATAATTGTATAGTTTAATAAAATTTAAGAATGAGCTGTGATGTCAATTTATCTAATTCGTAACCCCAATCCTACCACTTACTATATCACCGTATGCAGATTAATCTCTTTTTGTCTCATTTAAAGAAATTTTTTTAAGTAGACTCCACATGGGGCTTGAACTCATGACCATGAGATTAAGAGTCACATACACTTCTGACTGAGCCAGCCAGGAGCCCCACCTTTGAGCCTCAATTTTGTCATGAGTTAAAGGGGCAGAATAATAGTACTTGTATGGTTAGTGTGAGAAATAAATGATTTAATCCATGTAACATTCTTAGGATAGTTCTTAGAACATAGTGAGCATTCAATGTTAACTATAATTGTTATGACTGGGATATTGTAGTAACGTAAGTTTCTTATTACTACTTCTTAGTTTAGTCTAATATGCTTAAGAATTCTTGAATGCAGGGGCACCTGGGTGGCTCAGTGGGTTAAGCCACTGCCTTCGGCTCAGGTCATGATCTCGGGGTCCTGGGATCGAGTCCCGCATCGGGCTCTCTGCTCAGTAGGGAGCTTGCTTCCCTCTCTCTCTCTCTCTCTGCCTGCCTCTCCATCTACTTGTGATCTCTCTCTGTCAAATAAATAAATAAAATCTTAAAAAAAAAAAAAAAAGAATTCTTGAATGCAGAGAACCAACCCCAGACCATTATCTTTAAGGATACTCTAAGCTTTCAAATTCAAGTAACATTTATTGATTTCATATAACATACTAAGTATTATTCATATCAATTACTTTGTTTGACCTTTACAACAATTATGTGAATTAAGCATTATCATCCCCATTTTATAGATAAAGAACAAATGCCTTAAAGTTAGGGGACATATGCAAATCCACACAGTCAATGGTGAGCTGGAATTCAAACCCAATTCTCTTGACTCAAGATTCTTTCCTCCATACCATAGCGGCTTTCCTCTGATAGGTTCTTCCAAATGCCTGTTCCTTTTCAAAGGACTTCTAATACTAAGTTCATTTACAGAACTGACAAACCGTTCAAGAAGTACTAAGTCAGTAATGGGAAATGTGTAATCACTGGCAGATATTTAAAGCACATGGAAAGCCCAGGCACTTCCTTCCTGGACTGTAAAATCTGCTTGGCATCCTAAGTCATAGAAATATAAATAGTTCAGTACCCATATAAAGAAGTGTGACTAAGAACCAAAAGGATGCAGCTAACAAACACC